ATTCTGGGAATTGAAGTCCACTCGTCTTAAAGTGGCCAAGTTTGGACAACACTGTTCATCTGTAGGGGGAAAACTCAGAGGTTGGTGACTACTCCATGTTAAACCACATCCCTCCTCTCACACGACCCAGAGCCAACCGTACATAGCATGGCCTGTGCTTCCTAGCACACACACACTTGCACACACAGACACACACGCAGAGGTGCAAAAGAAGGGGAGAGCAGGCACACACAGAATTGTACCCAGATGCAGCCTAGTCATACGTTACTCAGAAGAAGATACGGATGCATCTTATAGCCACATGAAAAACCAGGTGGCGCTTCAGCTGCACCCCCATGGCCACCATTTTGACTTCTTTGACTACCCTGCGGACAGCCCTGCATTGCTGCTAGCTATGATTCTATAACTCATCCTGTGCCACATCTGTAATCTTATCTGACTAGGGGAAGTTAATACCAGAACATGTTTTAGCAATTGCTTGTATCTCTGAAGAAGAAGGTGTGAATATCTAATGTGTCATACCTGGTTCTGCACGCAGAAACTGGAGAATATGAATTTGGCTATAAAATGTGGACATCCGAGAATCCCTTCGTTCATGTTTTAAAGACAAAATGACAACTTTCTTCTTCTTCCACGCACCGAAATGCACGCGGCGACGTTTGTGAAGTTTCAGAAGGCTGACAGGCGGTTGAATCAGGCTCACGGTCCTTCCCAGCGATGGGTCTCCTTGAACTCAATGGGGCTTATTCTCCATTGATGTTCATAAACAACACCTAGTGTTTTCAGAGGGTGGGGGCTTTAGCAGCCCCTTGGCTGAGTTAGAAGATGAAAATAATTTTGCAAAAGGAAAAAAGTGTGAATCTTCTGGAGAAAAAAATGGCTTAGTGTTTGTTTTTCTACTTTTTGACCTGCCTTTCTTGATCAAGAGTTCTGAAATCCTGAAAATGTACACTTTTCCATTCAATCTGACATATTCTAATATTATTGAAAATTATTCCCCAGTTGGATTTTTTTCCCTTATCAATCCACATGGATTTAGATGAAGTGTTAGCCAGATGGATAATTACCAAAAAATTTGACTTTGTTATTAAAAGTTTTATTTTATGTGACTTTTAGCCTTGAAACATACGTCAATGCAAAATTATAAGACACATTTTTAGTTTTTATTGTTGGTAGTTTCTTAATGGCATTTGCAGAAAGCCCTGAATTTTAGAGTTCTTTGGATGCTGCTTTTTAAAATTTGGTTCAAATGAGATCCTCGGTCCAGCTCTTGAAATGGTTTGTGTTCACACAGATGCCTAACCCAGTTTGTAAACAATCTACGGCTGCATTTGCACAATATACTGAACTTGGTTAGTTTGAAGCTTGGGATGGGGGGGAGAGTTGGGTTAGCGTGTTCTGTGAACTCAGCCCTTTGGGTTAATCTATAGTTCAGTATATTTTGCCAACTCATAAAATGGGTTTATTCAATAAACAGGTCAAATATATTGTGTGAACATAGCCGATTGTCTGGTTCACCCCTTCCCACCATGACATCCTCCAGATGAGTTGGACTTCAAGCTTTCCAAGGGTTGGGATTTCAGGGGTTTGGAATCCAAAGTTAGGTTGAGAAAATTTAGTGTCAAGACCTCATGACATTTGAAGGTGTGAAGTCTTTGCAACCTGAGATGCTGAAGGTCTCTAACAGATCCATTACCAAGCCACAGTCTTTCACTAGCCAAGCTGCATACTCAGTTGCCCGTAGAACTACATTTCTCCTGAGATTTCTTTGTCCTGATTATTCAGTTCCTTCGCAAGAATGACCCATGGCTGCAAAAGTCCTGTGGTTTTAATCAAAAATGCACATTCGTTTCCTTGGATAAGTTTAGCTTCGTGTCTTTGGACCCAAGTTTGCACCAGCTGGATCCTAGGCTTTGGATCAGATCTTCTTTCTTGTCAACATCAAGGGAGGGAGGAAGAAAGGAAGGAAGAAGAAAAAGAAGAGATAGGAAGGGAGGGAGGAAGGGAGGGAGGGAGAAAAAGAAGAGAAGGAAGGAAGGAAGGAAGGAAGGAAGGAAGGAAGGAAGGAAGGAAGGAAGGAAGGAAGGAAGGAA